TTTATGATTTGGGATGGTTATAGTAGTATATTGAACAAATTTCTAGCACTTTAAACTTGATATAACTATTATCATAGTTGAGATTATCTTGTATTTAGTTCTTTGTCTTGTCCAAACGGAGATCAGTTTCTTAGGAACCAGTTGCATATGTATCAGCCTTCAGTCTTTCTCTTTCTTGAGGGGGTAATAAAACCAGTTTAAAGATCTTTGTATATGTACTCCACATTACAAATGTCCAACTCTCATTTCCATAATTAATTATCTCGGCCAGAGTAAAATTAAATTACGACGACCACGTGCCAGCATCTATCATGTGGAGCTGTCAGCGCCGCTTAATCGTACAATATCTGAGTCACATCACCTCTCTAGATACTTTACTTAAACTATAGATACTTTTTTCTTTAACAATTTGCTTTGTCTTTTAGTTTTTTGTCCACTGCATCTTTCCGAAGTCTCTGTCTCTCGCCATTTGTGTTAAGGGGTTAAAATCATTTGACATCTTGTGCATTGTAATTACACTTAACATAGCTCTCTCATAGTGCAATGACTGCGGCCAAGACTCGAAGTTTAATTCAATTAATCCCCAGAGTGACACTAATCGAATCGATTATACCCATTTTAAATTCCAGCCAGACGTAAGTTGCTTCGGGTCGGGAAAGGTAAATAATGTCAAGGGGTTTAAACTTTAAATATTATGATTAGAAGGGGAAAGCATTAACAATTCAAATCAATTTGGATTTAAAGTATTTAATTTATTTATGAAAAGGTTTATTACGAAGCATTTTTACAGTAATTAAAATAACGTATTTAACAGTATTTAACTTATAGTTTACAATACACTTGGCTTTATCCAATTTATTAGAATTTTAAATCCCTAAAATGTATCTTAAGTCAGCTTACAAGATTTTGTAAATGCGTCCTAATATATTTTATGTTAATCTTTTTTTCTGTGAGATATTTTTAAACAACAATATTTATCTCAACTCTGTCCCGAAAATATTTATCCGTGATTTATTAAACTCTCTCAGCTGCATTTATTTATAGCACGAATTCTCCTCGATATGTTATCTTAAAGATCTACTTCTCTCGCCCCTGCTGCAGTGCTTTAATTAATTCTCCGCCATTCGCAACCCACATGCACCTACATAAACATACATAAACATGAATATATATAAATATATATAGTCTTAACAATCGATTCCATTCCATTTGGTTCCATTTGCTGCCTGCCTGCATTGTTAATTTAATGCTCGAAGGCAATTGGACTTAAGTTCCATGTGGCAAGCGCGCCCGTTTTAGAACTGATTTAATTGCAATTGTGCGGCCAGCAGCAGCGGACATGCAATTGTTATCAACAAAATAAAATAAAAACACACCCTCGGGACAAACGGAAAATGCGGGCTAATCCACACCCAAGCTTAATTAACAAGTGTAATTGATAGAGCTTCGCCAGGAATTAGGGTTACACCCTCCTGCACTTCTTCCGTATTTTATTAATCACTCCAATTGCACGAAAACTTCCCAGACAGATGTCAATAAAAACCGCAGACATGACACACATTTTCCGACATGGAAAATGGGGGAAAAATAAATGCGTGACAAGTGAAAATGTTGCGTTTCTTGGCGGCACCCCAGCGGAAAATACTTGATCCATGTTTATTTTTAATAACACCAATAACAACAGGAACAATTTAAGTTTTTTTTTCTCAAAAGTCACGGCAATTTAAAGCTGCACTGAAAGTAATTCATAAATTTACATTCTATCAGGGTATTAAAATATGAAATATTATATTAAGTATAAAACATTTTGTATAGATTTTTTACAACATAAAGAAACATTTGGTTAGAAACTGTTATAGACAAGATTAATCTCCGTATCAAATGAATATTATTCTTTAGATTTATTTAATTTAATTTAATTTTTTTCTCTGTACTGAAAGAGAAAGAAAGCTGCAGATGGGGAACAAGAGAGAGGGACTAATTTTTAAGCGTCTGACATTTATTTTGCATGACATTTCACACACGCACACATATATATTTTAAAATATATGGGCACTTGGGTGTTGCACCTCGTTATCCAGGGGAATTGTCTCCACTGAGAACGATTTTGAGATCTTTTTATACCCTCATATCAAGGGTATTACAATTTTGAATGCTAGAAATATTAAATCAGAAGAAAAATGTAAGAGGGTTTCTAAATATCTCGAAAGTATCCTAAGTTTAGTCAGATGGTTGAAACGCATTGAAGGAATCATTTCCGACCCTAGTAATCATATATATTCTTGACCAGAATCAACAGCCAAATCGATCTAGTGGTGTCTAGTCGAAAAATAATTTTTTTTAAATTTTCAAAAAATTACAAAATTTTACAAGGGGTTTCATCGTTACAATTTTCAAAAATTGGCAAAAATTATGATTTTTTTAAATTTTCTATTGAGTATGCAGATTTATTAACATAATAAAAACTAACATAAAAAAGCTTTCCGAATTGAAATTCAATTATTTTTGGCTTAGTTATGGGCTTTTTCATTTTGATTTATTGAAAACATTTTCGTATAAAAATATTTTATAAATTTTACATGTTGTTAAATCTTTAAAAATATATTTAACAATATATTTCACAGATATTTTATAGGTAGAAAACTTTCAAATAAATAAGAGCATTTCTGAGGGTATTTCCATAGTCGATGATATTAGTTTCCTGCCTGTTTGTCTTCCCTTTGTCTGCTACTTTTCGTTGATGCTTTTATTTTGGTCCCCAAATATTAAGCAATTTAAGTTAAACACAATGTTTGTTCTTATTTGGCGCACTCTCCTCTGTTTAGCGTCTCTTTCTCTCTCTCTCTGATACCTTCATCGTCGGTCTCTCTCACTTTTCTCAATATTTTTGGACGCTTTTCGAGACAAACTGAGAGGGTTGTATTTGTTGTTGTGTCTGCTCCCACGGCGGCTACAAAAATTTCTGTGGTTCTATTCGAAATCAGTTCGAAAATTGCCGGCGGTCAGCACATTTACTTTGAACATCCGCGGCATTTGTTGAAAAAAAATCTTTTCATTTATGTGAACTTTTCCTCCGGATCGTGCTTTTGTGTGTGTGTCAGTGTTTGTTAATGAAAAAATAGTAAATAATATAGTACCAGAAAATTGGCATATGGTTTTGACATGACTGGGAAATATTACTGACCCAATCAAAGTATTTATAGAATGATTGATGAGCAAGGCTGTGCGACTTGTGAGAGTCTTTTATAAATGGAAATAAAAAAGCAAACATAAAATCTAACAGAATAAATAAAATTTAAGGGGAAATTCAATGAATAATAAAGGTTTTTGATATAAATATGTATAATGCAGAGTTTATCTAATGAATATAAAGTGTTTGTAAATGAAATATACTAAAAGCCAACAAAAATGTATGTGATTATTAAAGGAAAAATAGAAAATAAATCATCAAACTAAAAAAAACATTATATATAATAACAAATTTAATGAAAAATATCTAAATCGCGCCATACCATAAATAAATGATATAACAAATAATAAACAAACAAATAAAAGTAATCCCTTTGAATGAAACCATCAACTTTATATCGTAATAATTAATTTCCATTTCCCTTTATGGAAATGAGTTGTCGAAAGTCCCCCTTTTCTTGCTCTGATTTCTTTTATGGGGAAATCCTTTTTCCTCTGCCATTATATTGGCGCCCATTTAGCAATCATAAATAACGTATCTTTCAAGTTCACCTCTCCCGGATGTGCCCCCCATTTCACATTAATCAAGTTTCATTGCGCCAATAAGAAATTCTATGCGGTAAACAGGAAAATAATTGCAACAATAAAATAAATATAAACACAACTGCAACCCGAATCCGTTGTAATCTTCATATCCGGCTTGTCGCCGCCGTCTGCAAATTCTGCAGATGAACAGACGGTACCACATTCCCCCCATCAGGGATCACTTTTTTGCAGCATCATTATAATGGAGAGTCTTTTTTTAAAGAGCTGCTGGGGAGTTACACGAAGGGATATATATATACATATATATAAACATATGTATTTATTTACTTTGTTTCCTGGGGGAAGTGCGGGTCAAGGGGGAGAGCTTCACTCCTACTTACGTGTTTGACATTTTAATTGCATTGTTGATGGACTCAACTGTTGACACTTTCGTTTTTCGCCCCATGAATCTTTAATGAGCATTTAAGTTGCAAATTTTCCAGCCTTGCGGGTTTAAAGGGTTTCAAGGGGTTAATGGGGGTTGGAAAGGGAAAATTTACAGACAATTTTATTTAAAGGGAATGATGCAAATTAACAATAATTAAAAAAGTTGGTTAAACAAAAGGAGCGGTTTGTTAATAATTTAAACAGTTAATGTTAAACAGTTAAACAACTAATGAGATTAATAGAAAAATTATATTTAAAAATATGAAATGAATAGAAAAATCATATTTACAAATATAAATACTTTCAAGAAACAATTCTTCCTACAAAAATAAGATATATGAAACACGTTACACTTTACTTCTTCCACAAGATTCCTTCTATAATTTTCCCTTTAACCAAACTTATAATTACAACTGGAAAATGACCTTAAAATGTTCCCACTGATTTTCATTGTTCCACCTGAAAGAAAATTGTCTGTGAAGGGAAAGGAAGACCAAGTCAAAAAAAAAAATATCTTAACTAGACCAAATATGACCGTCTTCCGTTCAACACCTCATTAGGGCGACTTTCCGGACTGAGGACCGAAAACGACTTTTAATTGTGCCCACTGGACATACACAGCGGCTCCTTACCGACATCCCTCTCCCCTATTTTCCTCTGGTTTTCCACGATATGTCCGGAGGGTGAACATGATAAATGCTTTGGCCTCTGTCTAATGTTCTCCTCCTGCCACTACAATATTTAAGCCACAGCCGAGTGGAGCAATTAAGTGCCCCAGACACTCTAAAATTGTCGTTTAACATTTGTCAGGGCGGGGAAGAAATAAAATACAAGAAAAATTAAATAAAACAACAACAAGTTGTGCGGACTAATTAAATAATTGAAACAAGTTTACGTGGGAGCCGCAATGACAGAGAATTAAATTAAAGTGCAAAATCAGATAAAAGCTAAAAACATACTGTGAAATGTCGCAATTCGATAATACCTGCTATACGGTGCCTGAGGCTTCCACGGATGACGATGATGGTGTGGAGGATCTGGGCAGTAATGCTACCCTGGGGAATAAGGATCACTCTGACTGCACCGTAGATTCGGATGCAACGACCACAACTTCCTCCTTGGAGCGTCACATATATCGGAATCATTTTCGGTGCAGCAGAAGCTATGGTCCCCAAAGGGTCTCCATGCCCCTGCTGAGATCCAGTAGATCCAGGGAGATGACCCCGCAGCTGGGAATGTACCACGAGGGACCGGATAGGGATCCGCAATGGGGTTACTTTGTGCCCCTCTCGCCCAACTGTTTCTTTAGTCCTCCAATGCAGAGGAGGAGGTATAGGTGCGATCATAGATCATAATTTAAATTTAAATATAGTTTTGTTAATGCTTATTACTTACCTCTTAATTTTCCGTACTCTTCCAGGGAAAAGGAAAACGATCGCAATCGTCGAGCGGTGAGTTATGGCGGCGATATTGCCTCGTCGCCTCAGTCGGCCACCATGCCACGTGCTGCTCCGCGTCGCGTGGCCTTGATGAAGGAGCCACCACCGCCACCGCCACCCAAGCCGCAGCTGACATCCAAATCCTCCGCAGACTCCATGTCCTGTTTGGCCAGTAAATATCCTCAATCTGAGTACAATCTCATCCAGAAGATTGACTCGAATAGCACGCTGACAGCTCCGGCACAATATCAGCCGCAGAATTTTTATGCCAACACTGGAACTATATCCTCTACGAATGGCTATGGATCACTGCTGTGCCACACAAGCTCCACGGCCAGTCCACTGGCTGTACGGAAGCGGGACAAGTTGCTCCATCGATTCAGTGATGCCGCCACTCTGGGCAGGAAGCTCAAGAAAAAGAAGAACACGAATCGCACCTGTAGATCCATGACGGAGGCCATTGAGATGCTGGCCGATCCTGTAATCGAGGATGAGTTTTTCGTAAGTACTTTTATTTTATTTATTTTGGGTATGAAGATCTTTTGTAACTTATGACCATTATCTGCTTGACTTTCACGATAGACTTTCTTGTCTAAGAATACTTATATCTTTACGAGTTCCAAGATATCCATTCTTATCTAAATTAGAAAGACATAGTAATCGAATTTTAGAGGTTATCATATGATATAACATAGCATCAACTTAAAATTCTTTAAAAAAAATCTTAAGAACTTAAAAACTAGTATACCTTAAAGGTAAAGCTAATGTAGCTTTACTAGGTTTAAAGTAATTTTTAATTACTGAGAAACCTTTTCTTTTGATGGTTTCCCCTATACATCTTCATCCCCTCCCACAATTTCCACTTTTAGGGGGTGTATTTGTTTGGCTTAGGCCCCCGTCTGACCCATTCCCCTCTGTAATCCTCATTTCGACTCATTTCCCACCGACTCTGCTCACACACACTCACTGGGAGCTTTATCGCAATCTATTTTGTTCTTGTATTCCTCTGCAGCTGGAAGGGTGTTATCCATTGGAATAAAATGCTCGTGTCTGGTTGATAGGCTCTTCAAATTCATTGGATTTATTTCAGTTTAGTTTGCGTCTGCAGTTCAACGCGTTTCGAACGAGAAAAAGTCTCACCCAAAAAACTAACCGATATTCGTAGGCGGAAGTGTAAGAGAGACAACTCTTTATAAAGATAAGGTGGAGTGAATAGGAAGTTGACAGCTTGAAATGGAGAAGGGCTCTTAGATCGAGTGGAGTGTGTTGGGAGTGATATTTTCAAAGTTGGAAAAGTTGAATATGCTAATAAGGAAAGCAAGGGGATTGGAGTTAATGATATCAACACTTTTTTGAGGCATTTATCTTGACACGAAATTAATGTTTAGGATGTAAATTCAATTAATTTCAATTTTTAAGAACCCAAGTAAATATTTAAAGAAATATCCTATTTTATACCCTTCCAGGGTACTTTTATTATAGTCAGAAGCTTGTAAATCTATTTAGGAGTCATTTCCGACCCTATAAATCATAAATATTCTTGATCAGATGAGTCGATCAAAATTTTATTTTATTTTATTTATTTTTTTTTTAAATTGTGATAATCCTAACAGATTAAATGTTTAATCTGATGATTTCCTCTTCTTAACCTTTCAAATTCCAATTGCTGCCATTTTCTAACCCCTTTCCAATCTAACCTTGAAGTCATATCCAAGCTGAACTCAATTCGAAATCCAAAATAAGAAGCATAATATCCAACAAAAAAGGGGCGTAAATCCCACCACAGTTCATTACACTGAACATTCATTGACCCAATCGTCGTCAAGTTGCCTCGAAATTTGCAAATCGAATTGGAATTGGTATTGGGGTCAGCGGCAAAACAAACAGAATACCGCTCTAAGCCACAATTATTTGCCAAATCAGGCTTTAATTAACCAACTCAGAGTTGACAGATTAGCATAGAATTTCGGTTTGAGCCCTTCTTCTGCTTCTCCAAACCATTCTCATATGACAGGAAGACAACGAATGTGTCTAACAAAACAAGTGACTCGAAAACTGTGTCAATACTTTGCGTTCGGAAAACAATTTACCTCGAAAGGTGAACCGTGGAGGTGGCCCGAACCCGTCCGGCTAATTGGATTTACCGTGCGTGTGCCAGGGGAAAAGGTTGTTGCAATAAAATCAAACAATTGCAGTGGAAAATCGAACGTGCAGTGTGCCGAACGTGCTGGGTTGGTCGTCGCGTCGGAAAATAACATAAATCGAACCTATTTTTTAAAATTCATTTTTTGTGCGACTTTTGTATGAAATCTGACATCTTTTAGGCGCTTCATAGAACAAAAATTGTTGCCTACTTTCGTGCTTTGTTATTTAAGCTGCCTGAAAAATAATATCCACATGAAACAGTTGCATGGTTTTAGGCGGCTCAGAAAAACTTTTACACGAGTTTAATTTATGTTAAATGAAATTTATTCAGAAGATTAACATTTTAAAAGTAACTTCATTATAGCAGAAAAATTAAATTTTAAATTTAAAAAATACTAAAAGAATGATTTTTTTCTAATAGTTACTGTGGTTTATACGAGTAGTTCCAAAACTGTCCACTACGTTTCATGTAGAAGATGTGTAAAGTGACGCCCAGCCCGTGTCAATAATCGTCCGCCTTAATAAAATTACTGCTAAAAACATAATTTTCAATAAAAAGTAAAATAATAAAAAGAGAATAATAAATAAAAAATAAATTTAAAGTAAGAAAAAGAGAAAAAAGAATCTCTTCTTCGACCGTGACAGGACTCGAACCTGCAATCTTCGGATCCGAAGTCCGACGCCTTATCCATTAGGCCACACGGTCGTTGTGAAACACCGCGCTTAAACTGGACTTGAGCTGTGCCATTTATGAACCGAATCACCGCACAAGGTGGATTAAGCGTATTTCACTGCAAGCAAACAAAGGAAAAACAACAACAAATATATATATTATCAACAGGGTGTGACGGAACTCAACTGAACAATAAATAATAAATATGAAGCCCAGCACAGGTCGACGTCGCAGCTTTAAAAACAAACCACCCAAAGCGAATGTGTACAATCCGTTGGTGCGGTATCGCCCTGCGGCCTATGTGCGGAATGGGATTATTGGTGGTGGAGATGGACCCGGTTCCAGTGGCCTATACCAAATCAACGACAAGGTCTACACCACCAGCAAGTTGTTCCTTCGCGACGGATTCATGTATCCCCGCCAGCCTGGCCAGCCCATGGATCCCCGCTATCCGCTCGAGCTGCATGAGTTCCCTCAGCAATTTGGAGCCACTGGATTACAATTGGTCAGCACACCCAAGGTTCATATTGCCGGTGAATATTTGGCCAATGATCATCTGCAGCAGGAACAGCAACAGGTGCAGGAGCATCAACATTTGGGCAGAAGGAAGGTCGCCACCGCTGCCGCCGCCGCTGAAATCAATTTGGCCAATCAGGTTTATTGGCTGGGCAAGCAAAAGACCAGATCCAGATCCCGCAGCAATAGTTTGGGGAATAAGAGCATCACCAGCTGCATGGGTGGCGGCGGCGGTGGCGGAGATAGGGATCGGGAAAGGAATCAGGAAAGGAATCAGGAATCTAGGGATCGTCCCTGTATACGCAACGTGGATGATCTGCTCCAGGCGCTGGGCAAACGGGATGGCGGCGGGGAAAATGGTAGCAATATGCTGGAAACCGCCTCCACACATTCCTCAACCCAAAGAAGACGCTTCAAGAAGGTGAGAGTTTGATTGATGGGGAAAAATAATATTTTGTAACCAAAGGGGATCTTAGGAACACAGAATTGCTCTAGAAATTTTATAAACTTGAATATATTTTGATATTTTAAAGACAAACATCTTAAAAATGTTTATTTTTCATTAAAATGACTATTATAATTACAAATAATTATTATTATTAAAATAATATTTGTAGTTTATTCTACATAAAAAAAATTATTTCTTGCCGACCGTGACAGGACTCGAACCTGCAATCTTCGGATCCGAAGTCCGACGCCTTATCCATTAGGCCACACGGTCGTTGAAGTCTATTGAAAAAAATATTCCCAGTAGGTCTAAAAAATACAAATTTGTTCTCTTTCAAGCTGAACTCTAATGAATGATAATATTTACACTTGAAACATAAGCTTTAAATTCAGTTTGGAAGAATTAAACAATTTTTAAATAATTTAAATATATTTTTCTATACCTAGTGTCTGGAAAGCATTTACTTTCATTACATTATTTCGAAATTCTTCACTTAAATTGGATACAACCAAAAGCAACAATCAATCATCGCATTGCATGGCTCTTAAGCAATTTGGAAATTTGTCAACCAGCACCGGCACATTGCAACACTTTCAATTGTGGCTGCGACACCTTTTTCTCTCTTTCGGCCAACTTAATTACGCCTGTGGCCACTGGCCATGTGGCTGGGGGACTCGTTCCGCCAGGTCATCATCACTCATCGGGCTGGTGAAGTCTGCAGTGTCCAGAATGGAGGCAGTGAAGCCTACCGCCCCTGGGGTGCGTCTGCGCAAAAATTAAAATTAATGATGTTCAAAATTTTGCTGGAGGGTTTAAATGGAAATGAACGCAAAGTGGGATAAAGAAAGAAATGGTGGTGAGGAGGTCTCGGAACTGGACAGCCGGTAGCTGCTAATTTGGCATCCTCGAACACACCTGCCCTGAAAGATTTGCCATCCTTCTGCTTTTTCAATCTCTGAATAAGCCCCAAAAGTCAAAGCTTTGATGTGGTTCCTTTTACTGCCTTTTTAGAGCCTTTTTTTACTCTTTTAATACTTGTTTTATGCATTTTTAAGCCCGCAGTGTTGCTCAGGCTTCCATGACGATTTCAGTCGTTTTTCTTGGTTTTATTTTTACTTTTGTCTTTTCTGGTTCGTTTTTGCCATCGTCATTAGTGGGATATATATATAGTTTTTGTTTTTTTTTGGCTTAATTCTTTCTTCGCTTGGGGCACAATTTATGCGCTTCTGTTTCGGATTCGGATTCAGATTCGGACTCTGAGGAGCACTTGAGTTTGAGAAATTGGTTTCGTTGATTGTGCCTTTGGACGTGGGCAAAACCGTGGTCTACAAGTTATTTATTATACTTAATTTGTAAAGTTTAGTTAAGTCTAAAAAGGCTTTAACCAAGAACTAAAGTTAAAAGAGGAAGTTTAATTTAAGCTTGGGAATTTCATTACTAGCTTCATACATTTACTTCTACCCTTCATTTGCTCAATTCACTTTCCTGTCTGTAATTTACTAGAAATATGAGAAAATTCAATATAAAATGGTATCAGAATTCAAGTCCAATTCAACCCCTATCCACTGTAATTCCACTCCTCCCCTGGACTCTACTTCCGCCGTGTATATAAATCCATTTAGAACTCAAGCTCGTTTCGCATCAACTGAAATGAAATGAAATAAATTGGATGTGGAAACCCAAGCAAAATGGGCATAAATTTATCTCTTTTTAAATTCTAACTTCAGAGTTCGAAAAGGGTTAAGGAATTTAAGCAAAATGTATGCAGTGTGTGACTTTCATATGCAGGAAAAAGCAAAAACTAAAAACAATTGCAATGCAGCTCGAGTCCGATTGGGGACTTCCCCTTCGTTGCAGTTG